TGGGGGTGGGGGGTACTTCTTACCCAGGTTGCTGGCACAGAAGTTGCTCTGCAAGGTGCCTGTCCGCCTGCACTGCTTTGGGCAGGTGACACTGGGCCCATCTAGGAGAAAGGGGGTGTTTGTGGACGGTGACCTACTCAGTAGGTAGGAAAGACCCCCTTCCCCAGATCAGCCTCACTGACCCGAACCCGCTCAGAGCTCGATCTGGCTTTGGGTTCCGGCACCCAGTACCAGCCGTTGGTGTGGAAGAGGCACCAGCGAGTGTTGCACGAATGGATGAACGGGTGAGCCAAGGCAGAACTCTTTGAAACAGCTCCCTTCGGTCTGTGCCCCCTTCTCACCCCTGCCCAGACTCACGGGGGCCCGCCGGTGTCGCCTCTGACTTCACAGACGGGAGCTGGGGCTTGGTGGGTGGCTTGACTTTGGGCTCAGGCCCTGGTTTAGGGCCGGGACCTAGGAGTGGGGGACCCGGCCGGGTGTCCTCTCCTGGGCTCTGGGCTGGCCCTTCTTTGGCAGCGCCCCGTGGCAGGGTCTTGTAGGAAGCTGAGAAGCCGTCGGCCGTGACGCTGAGATCTGAGACGAACTGGACCAGGAGCTCGTTCCCCTCGGAGGAGATGGGGCTGCAGCGGTGGGGGATGGAGGTGTCAGGGCAGGCTCTCCACCCCGCTCCCAGCCCCAGCCCGCTGACCTTTAACTTGTCCCTCACTCAGCTCACTAGCTTCCCCAGATCCCAGAGCCTCACTCACCTCTGGACCCGAGGATCCCAGCCAGGGTCCAAGCCGCCCACCTGCTCCGTCCACCCCTTTGGAGGCCACAGGCTGAATCGTGCCCTCTCTGCTGAGCCCCGTCCCCCCAGGACAGCCCCGCGGTCCCCCCTGGGGAAGAGGGGAGCCCAGCCCGCCCCCTCACCCTGGCACTTTGTCGCCGCAGAACTTCCCCAGCCTCTTGGCGTCATCACTCACGGCCCCGTTGAACACACTGACCGAGTCGTAACGGCAGTAGCTGTCAGACTCCAGGTCAAACTTCCCGAAGGTCAGTGCGATGACCTGGAGGTGAGGCGAGGCAGAGGCTGCGCAGTGACCCGGCAGCAAAACTCACCCCCTTCACCCCGCTGCCCCCTCCTGGACGTCAGTAGAAGCCCCCCCCACCTCCTGCGTGCCCTGGACCCTCTCCTTTAATGCGTCCACACCGCAGCTCGGAGGATCACACGCCCAGGAGACCCTGCAGGGGCATCGGTCACCATCATTGGCGAGGTCGAGTCCTGGCTCGCTCAAGGGACGGCCCTCCACTCTGCCAGCACCACACAGTTATAGCAGCGCCATGTACCTCGCTCTCCTAAGACGCGTCAGGTGTAATTTTACATTTGTGTGTGCGTGTAAGCCGAGTCTGGGTCTGTTTTAGGCGCCCACCAGCTCAAGCTCAGTGCTCAGGGCAGAGTAGATGTTCAGCGTAGCCAGATGTTGGCTGCGGGCTGGAGGGCGCCGCCGGGTCCCCAGGGCAGCCCAGCAGGGGGTCGGTACCTGGTCTGGGGGCGCGATGATGTGCCATGAACAGCTGATGCCCGGGGGGTAATCGGACTCGGGCCAGTTGGGCGTGGTCAGGGTTCCCTGGGCTTTCTCCAGCCGCCCCCCGCAAAACTGGTGCTCTGGGGAGGGGAGAGAGGAGCGGGGGTGGGGGGCGGTGGAGACCCTCGGTCAGCTCCGGGAGGGCTCTAGGCTGGGCGCCCGGGCAGGAAGCTCGGATGTCTGGGCCTCAGGACGAGGGGCAGGGAGAGGGAGCTGGGTTGGCCGAGGAAGCCGGAAGGAGCGCGGCTCAGGGAAGCCTGGATCGGCGCCCAGGCCACCAAGAGGAGGAACTGGCGGACGCTCCCTTTCGCCCGCCCCGCCCGCGGCCACACCGCGCCTCCTCCCCTGGGAGATCCCATCTCCCCGGCCCGCGGCCGCG